AACTGTCGACGCATTCTACTCAGCTCATGGCGTCTATCCCGCACTGATTTCCAGCCCCTCCTCGATAAAATCAAGAACAAAATAGCGACCTGGACAACGAGATTCCTGTCTAGAGCCGGAAAAGTCCAGCTCATAGCATCGGTCATCTACGGTCTGGTCAACTCATTGAGTGCAGTCTTCCTACTACCAAAATTTTTCCTCCGACAAGTCGATAGTCTCTGCAACTCTTTTCTCTGGAAGCCGCCAGGATCAACATCAACACCCACTCGAGTGGCCTGGAACATGATATGTAGACCAAAAGAGGAGGGAGGCTTATCCCTGCGGAAACTAATTGACACCAACATCGTATTCCGACTGAAGCAAATCTGGCTTTTATTCTCAAAAGAGCGCTCATTATGGGTGGCTTGGACGAGACTGCACTTCATTAAGAACCGTAGTTTTTGGACAATCAAAGAGACTCCCCGCCAATCTTGGAACTTCAAGAAACTACTCAGCATAAGGAACTCAGCCCAACCGTTCATCAGATTCAAAATCGGAAATGGCCAGAAGGCGTTTTTCTGGCACGACACTTGGACCTCGTTAGGACCCCTCATCGACTACATCGGAGAGCAGGGGCCCCGATCCCTACGGATCCCCTCGCTAGCGAGAATCTGCTCGGCCTGCAACAACAGGCATTGGAATTTACCAGCAGCCAGATCCGACAGAACCCAGGAACTTCACTCGGCCCTGCTATCAACTGCACCCCCATCTAGCTTGAGTGAAGATGACTCTCCTTTGTGGCACCAAGGAAGTAACGAGTTCAGAGCAACATTCTCATCCAAGAAGACCTGGTCGATTCTCAGGCTAAGGGGAAACAGAGTTGATTGGTCGCCACTAGTCTGGTTCAGACACCACACTCCAAGCCACACATTCTTGCAATGGCAAGTCTTTCTCCGCCGTCTACCGACAAGAGACCGTATTCGCAGCTGGGGAATCCAAGCCCCGACGCAATGCGTTCTCTGCCAAGAGCTAGACAAAAGCCATGATCACCTTTTCCTGGAGTGTAATTTCGTTGCCCATGTTTGGATCCACTTCGCGAGGAAGATCTGGCCTTCCCCACCACGTAACCTCTTCGGCTGTGTCGTCTGGTTCCGCAACCCTACAAATGACAGTGCACGAAGCAAGGCCCTAATTGCCAAGCTGCTCCTTCAAACCACCATCCACGAAGTTTGGAAAGAAAGGAATTCAAGAATATTTAGAGGCATCATCTCTTCCAGAGACCAGATTTGCGCTCGAGTGGACAAATCGATGCACACAAAATTACTGAGTATTTCCAGTGACCGTACTGCAGCGACTTATTCCCACCTAGAGGAGGGTTTTTTACTCAAATGACCTACTTGGGTCGCACCTATTTCACGCGTACACCTCAAAAAACATAACACAATAATTTTTTTTGAAAAGACGAAATTACCCTTAATGAATACACGATTTTTATCCGTTCGAAAACAACTTCGTTATTACGACTTCGTAATTAATTCTAAATATAGTTACAATTGATTCTAAAAAAGGTGGCAAAAAAATCATCTGTCTTATTTTAGTGGTATATCAGTTATATGTTAGTCGTAATAAAGTCTCAAAAAATAAAAAAGAAAAGGGTATTTCGGACTTTTTCAACTGAAAAGTGTGTTAAAATTGAAAAAAAAAAATTTGTTTTTTTTCGGTGGTGTACGCTGAAATAGGTGCGACCCAAGTGGGTCATTTGAGTGATTTTCCCCCTAGAGGACTGGTACTTTCTTATCTCTAGCACCACTTAGGAAACTAAGAAAAGCCAAGCTAAATTTGTAGGAATTTTGGGCTCTCGCCACTTGCCATGGGATTCTGACCATTTTGTATCAGCAATAGCTGATTGTAAAATTTTTTAATTAATACCATTCACATTTCATAAAAAAAAAACGATTATATGTAGTAGTGGACAAAATATATCAATTAAGGAAGAAGAAGAAAAAAGAGTCTTTTACAAAATCTAATTCTCTACATCATTGAAGGACAAGGAAAACAGAGAAGCTAATCACCGTTCATGAACCCGTTCATTAGAAAACCAAAAAGCGCAAAATGGGGTGAACAATGCTACCTGCACGAGCTGATCTTCGTTTAAAGCATATAAGCTCACTAAGATGGGTACCCTTCCAACAAACTCAGGAATTATTGAATGTGTTATAGGAATATGTGTTATAGGGATATGTGTGCTATAGAAATATGTGTTCAACACACAATTATTATTTAGACAAAATTTATTATTAGGACTAGAATATTCTTTTGAGTTGTATATATATGTGGCTTTTTTGTATTTGGAAAATAACCAAAAACATAAGAATAATATTTTCTTTAGATGGTATCAGAGCAAATCGTCTAACGACCTCTTTTACCGATTCTGTCTTATGTGTCGCCACCGCGACCATTCTGCTTTGCGACCAGCCTCTGGCTCCTCTCGTGGATATCTCGGCAAGTGTCAGGCATGCAGAGTTCAAGGACACTCAGTCCAAAGGTGTCCTCAGTTTCGCCTAATCTCGGCATCGGACATTCTCGGTGGTTCTCCTCACCAGTCGCAATTTCAGCCGTCTTCACCACGCTCATGGCAGTCTCGCGCCCACAACACCACGATGAATCCGTACGACGCTTCCCCGTGGCTTGTTGACAGCAGAGCCTCACACCACATAACGTCGGATCTCGACTCTCTCTCGCTCCACAGCCCCTATCGTGGTGGAGACGAGGTTATTCTCGGTGATGGGTCCAGTCTTCCCATCACACATACGGGTTTTCTCTCAACCTCATCATCTACTCATCCTCTGACTCTTCAACATGTTCTTTGTGTTCCTTCAATGCAAAAGAAGCTTATTTCGGTGTCTCGACTATGTGAGTCTAATTCCGTCTCGGTTGAATTCTTTTCTGATTCATTTCAGGTGAAGGATCTACACACGGGGACGCAGTTTCTCACGGGAAAGCTTAAAGATGGTGTATATGAGAGGCCGACTTCCTCCTTTTTCCCGTCTCCTCATGTTTCTTTTTCTCGTCTTAAGCCCTCGTTGTCTGAATGGCATTTTCGTCTAGGTCATCCATCTCTTTCTACTCTTCGTCATATTGTCTCAAAATTCAATTTACCTTTTGCTCGGGATTCTAAACCGTTTTCTTGTGATTCATGTTCTCGCAATAAAAGCCATAAACTCCCTTTTTCGGAATCCTCTATTTCTTCGTCGCGTCCTCTTGAGCTTATTTTTTCTGATGTTTCGACATCACCCGTCTTGTCTCTTGATGGTTTTAAGTATTACGTATTGTTTGTGGATCACTTCACTCGTTACTCTTGGTTGTATCCTCTCAAACACAAATCTCAGGTTCGGGAAACTTTCATTCGTTTTAAATCCTTGGTTGAAGCAAAATTTTCGTCGTCCATTGTTTCTCTTTACACGGACAATAGCGGGGAATTTATTGCTTTACGCTTGTTTCTTACCGACCACGGTATCTCTCATTTCACCACTCCTCCTCACACTCCCGAGCATAATGGTATTTCTGAACGAAAACATCGTCACATAGTTGAAACCGGTCTATCCCTTCTTCATCATGCATCTTTACCTGTCTCTTTTTGGTCATTTGCCTTTACCATGGACGTATTTCTCATCAACCGTCTTCCAACACCGACGTTATCCATGTCAAACCCTTTCGAGTCTCTCTTTGGTTCCTCTCCGCAATATGAAAAACTTCAAACCTTCGGGTGCTTGTGTTACCCGTGACTTAGACCATACACCTCTCATAAACTTGATCCCAAATCCTCTCCGTGTGTTTTTCTCGGTCATTCCTTGTCCCAATCCGCATTCATTTGTTTCGACTTTTTGTCCTCCCGTATATTTGTGTCGCGTCACATTGTATTTCATCGTGACATCTTTCCCATGTCGGACCCTTCTCGGTTTCGTGTTGTTTCCTCTTCCTTGGATGACACACTTTCTCGAATCTCTGTCTTCACCGAGCACTTTCACTGAGGCTGTTGTCTCATTTATTCCTCCGACCTCTGTATCATCATCTTCGTCGCCCTTATGTGCAGCTCCTTCGCCTTTGGAATGCTCGAAAGAAGACTCAGATGTGGCACCGCCCGTCCTGCAGCCCGCCGAGGGACGTTCCTCCGCTGTCGCACCTGCGTCTATTCCTTCTCCGCCGAGGAACACACACCCCATGATGACTCGAGGGAAGAATCATATTACTAAACCTGTTCAAAAGCTCACTTTGGCTGTGTCTTTGCCTTCTATTCCCTGGGAACCTTCTTCGGCTGCTCAAGCGCTTAAGGATCCTCAATGACGTTCAGCCATGGTTGATGAATTTAATGCCTTTGTCTAGAATGGTACTTGGGAGCTTGTGCCGCCGACCTCAGCTGTGAATACTGTGGGCTGCAAATGGATTTTTCGGGTTAAGACTAAGCCGGATGGTTCAGTAGATCGGTTCAAAGCTCGCTTAGTGGCCAAGGGTTTTCATCAACGTCCGGGTGTGGATTTTCTTGAGACGTTCAGTCCAGTGGTTAAACCCACTACTATTCGCCTAGTTCTCAGTCTTGTTGTGACTAGCTCTTGGTCTATCCGTCAACTTGACGTTAACAACGCCTTTTTCCAAGGACGACTCAGTGATGACGTGTTTATGTCTCAGCCTCCGGGATTTGTGGATCATGATCATCCTGACTTTGTGTGCAAACTTCATAAGGCTATATATGGTCTTAAGCAAGCTCCTCGGGCTTGGTATTCGGAGTTACGTGGTTTTCTTCTTGGCTGTGGTTTTCATAACTCTCTTGTTGATGCCTCGCTCTTTCATCGCCGCTCTACCGGTTTTATACTTCTTGTTCTTGTCTATGTAGATGATCTTATTGTCACAGGCAGTTGTTCTGACGAGATCCAATCCTTCATTATCTCTCTCGGTACTCGGTTCTCTATTAAGGACCTTGGTGACCTATCTTTCTTCCTCGGCGTGGAGGCGACGCGTTCTCCTATGGGCTTATTTCTCAGTCAACGTAAATACATTAATGATCTCCTACATCGCACCAAGATGCACGACGCCAAGCCAGTAGCAACGCCCATGGCGTCCACATCTCGTCTTACAGCCGCATCAGGTTCTCCTCTTCCTGATCCAACCGAGTATCGGACTGTGATCGGCAGTCTTCAGTACCTCTCCTTGACACGACCAAATGTGTCTTTTGCTGTGAACAAGTTGTCACAGTTTATGCATGCCCCGACTGATGAGCATTGGCTTGCAGCCAAACGAATCCTCCGTTACTTGAATGGCACGCAAACATCTGGTGTTTTTTATGCTGCAATAAACTCCAAGCTACTTCATGCATTCAGTGATGCAGATTGGGCTGGTGATCCCGGTGACTTTAAGTCGACATATGTCTACATTGTCTATCTCGGTAAACATCCAATTTCTTGGTCGTCCAAGAAGCTCTTCCACCGAGGCAGAATATCGCTATGTTGCCAACACATCGGCTGAACTCCGTTGGGTTGTCTCTTTGCTCTCTGAACTTGGATATTCTCCTCCCTCGACTCCGACCATCTATTGCGATAACGTGGGTGCTACTTATCTCAGCGCTAACCCAGTCTTTCATTCACGCATGAAGCATCTCGCCCTCGATTACCTTTTTGTTGGTGGTCAAGTTTCGGATGGCTCACTTCGGGTCGTTCATGTTTCCTCCAAAGATCAACTCGCGGATACTCTCACAAAGCCTCTCGCTCGGACTCTCTTCCATGATCTCTGTGTCAAGATCGGCCTCACCTCCGGTGCTCCGACTTGAGGGGGCATATTGAATGTGTTATAGGAATATGTGTTATAGGGATATGTGTGCTATAGAAATATGTGTTCAACACACAATTATTATTTAGACTAAATTTATTATTAGGACTAGAATATTCTTTTGAGTTGTATATATATGTGGCTTTTTTGTATTTGGAAAATAACCAAAAACATAAGAATAATAGTCGGAAAACTAGATTGCTTCTATTTCGATACTTCCGAAAAATTATATCAAATGCCGACAAGCTTTGAAAGTGTCTTGTCATAACCATTTACAGATCCTCTATCTATAACGGAGATACACATAACATAGAATGTGAATTGAAACCCAAAAGAGGACTTGTACAAATACAAGCATGAAGCTGAAAACAAAGCATATAATTGACAGTCATGAGATGCATAGAGTTACTATTCGCTTATTATGATAAAAGCTTGAATCTTTACCGTCACAAAGGCTTATTCCTTCATTCTTCAAGGACGCTATGAGAATATCCGAGTAATCTCGTAGAACTCCAACTCGGATTTTCCAGGGGAACGCTTCGCCGGTTTAACTGCTTGAATACGATGCGATAACCTCGAACATTGGCAAATCTAATGTCGGTTCAGTTACAAACTGTGAGCTCTTTTTGCCTCATCTTCCCTTCTACTGTCCTGCAAACATCAAGCTGAGAACTTCTGAGATGGTATTTTAGATCTTAGAGGAAGTAATTACTTCATAACAATCATAAAGATAGATTTTTACTGCCAAACCAATCCTTTGACCTTTTTGTTAAATTAGAAAGTGTTAACTAATGAGTTAAAAAACATAATATGCCATTTTATTATTACCCTAAACCAGTTTCCATACCCACAAGTTAGTCATAAAGTGAACTTGAACTAATCCAAACAGAAGACTGTCCCCCATGTCATAGGCTAGAGTGAAGATCTCTTCTGCATACCTCGAAGTCTTTCGACTCTGTTTCTTGGACGAAATGTTCCGGCTCAACGTTTCTCTTGATAATTTTTGCACCACACCCTGGTGTTTCAACCGAACCAACTGCCTCTTCATCTACCAGAACTGCTCTTATACCATGAGACCCTTCTGTGATGCTGTCCGGTACCTGTTTAGGACACACAAAAAAGAAAAAAAATATACTAACGCAATTATAGGGTATTAGTAAAAAGAGAAGTCCAATATGTTTGCCTACACAGTAAGCAAACACCTTTTGTCCCTCGAAGAATCACAAATTAGGGCTAACCAAAGGAATGGGGAAGTTAATGTAAGGTTTCTTGCTCTTTCTTGTCCAAAGAAAAGGGAAAAGGCAACCAAGAATATTGAGGAACCAGAGGCAGCAATTTTCTACTACACGAATGTGTGCTCATGCAGTTAGAGTCCCACATCGGAAATATGTGGGGACAATTGGGGGAGGGTGGTCATGGTCTTATATACACTCGGTTTTCCCCACATATTTCCGATGTGGGACTATATAACACATGCATTTCAATAAATAAGGAAAAAGTGCTTGAAGTAAAACACTTAATTTCCGATACCTCGAACATTGCTTCCGTGAGAATACTTTCTAATAGAGATCGTAAGCCACGCGCACCGGTGTTCTTGGACATCGCTTTCTTTGCAATCATCCTGGTAGCTCCTTCAGTAAAGAGCAATTGAACCTAACATTTCATCCAGAAAGATAGGTTAAAGATAGGCAGAAAGATAGGTTAAAGATAGGACAGCCGCATGGGAAGAATCCCACAACAGAAAAACAACTTGCACTGTTCATGCCAAACAGCTTCTTGTACTGTTTGCCCAGCGCATTTTTGGGTTCCATGAGAACCTATCAAAGGAGGGAGAATTTTCAGGTTACAGTTTTACAGATGAATGAGAAAGTTGGCTGAAATTTCTGTTTGCAATCAAAATAAAATTATTCATAGTTTTACCTGATTCTGGGGATCAAGATGCAAATAGTGGAAACATATAGCAGGCAACTTCTAGAGAGTGATGAAGTTGACAATCAATCAAGATGAACCGAAGATCAACGGTCACAAGACTATATATGACCTTCAAGTCCTCTCACCAAATACAGAGAAACGACAATGAACAGATTTTGCATCTCTACCACCATTTGAGCTATGAGACTGCGAAGGGAAAAACAGATTGCCAAGTAATGAGCATTAACCTAGCTAGTGCCGTATCATAAGTAACTAACGCAGAAAATTTAAACCTTCTTAGTTATCTTATCAACTTCGTCAATGTAAACAATTCCTCGCTGAGCTGCATCTACATTGAACCCAGCTTCCTGAAAAGAAAAGATACATCCAGATACTTTTAACAATAAACAAATACACATAAAACATAAATGTCGCCGAATAGCAAGCATATGTAACAAATTTCTTGCATCTCAATAATACTGGATTAGGTGTGGACTTGTGGAGGGAAAAAAATTTCAAGTGTTCCGAGCTATTGTACATAAAAATTGAATGCATAAAACCAAAAACTTAAAGCCAAATATGTAGTTTCAGAAGAAATCAGTTATAAAACTATATGGTACCAAGCAATACAGAAGATATTCCATGAAAGGATATGCCAATATGCTTGAAATTTTGGCTTTTTAATAAATTTCTTCCCATTTTTTTCAAACTCTCTTTTCATCATTTATAATATTACTTCGAAATTTTGGCTTTTTAATAAATTTCTTCCCCTTTTTATTCATGTTTTTGTTTGTTCTTTGGTCCGACGTAATGTGTGGTAGGTAGGGGGTGGAGGATCAACTTTATTGTCAAATCGATGCGCCTGGCTCCTACAGTACAAGTCATTGCCCTAACTCTTCCAAGCGTATATGAAGGTGTTCTTTGTGTGGCCTTTTCTTCAAGTTTCCTTGTGCATTTTGAGGGAAACAAAGGCCATTTTTACGATAACATCATCGACCGACCACCATGGCTGAGTTCGATCAGATTCGCGAGATCAAAGCTTTCGAAGCAGCGGGTGCGAGCGTAAAAGCCCTCGCAGATGCTGGCATCGCTGAAATCCCTCAGACTTTTCATCTCCCACCGGATTTCTTGGCAAACAAGCAACCTCCTCCATCTGATCCACGTTACTCTATTCTGATCATAGACCTCCAAGGCATCAAGAACGATCCAAATGCTCGCAAGAACGTCGTTGAGAAGATTAGAGAAGCGTCAGAGAAATGGGGGTTCTTCGAGGTGATCAACCACGACATTCCCCAGGATGTTCTTAATGGAATTATTGATGGAACGCGTAGGTTTCACGAGGAGGATCTTGAAGAGAAGATGAAGTACTTTACGCGAGACGTGTCCAAGAACGTAGCCTTTAGATCAAATGTTGATCTTCAGAAATCCGGTCTTGCATCTTGGAGAGATAGTTTCCATTGCCAGATGGCACCCAACCCGCCCTGTCTTGAAGAGTTGCCTCATGCTATCAGGTGCTTTCATCATTAAAACACGATTTACGTTTTAGACAAATGATTGTGAAGTTTGATCTTGTTTCGTATTTAGGGATTGTTTGATGGAGTTCTCTGAACAACTGAAGAAGTGTGGAGAATTGATGTTTGAGCTACTGTCTGAATCTCTTGGATTACCAAGCGACTATCTAAAGGACATGGATTGTGCAAATGCTATGGCCTTTGTTTGTCACTATTACCCTTCTTGTCCACAACCCGAATTAACGTTGGGATTGAAGAGGCACTCCGATAACTCTTTCATCACATTGCTTCTTCAAGACCATATCGGCGGCCTTCAGATTCTACACGACCACTACTGGATCTTCGTTCCACCTATTTCAGGGGCCC